GGGGGGGGGGGGGGGGGGGGGGGGGGGGTCATCAATAAATCTGCGCACAAAGAGGGGAGTGCTACCTGATTTTTTATTTTTGTTTTATTTTCAAGCAAATACTTTCAGTGCTCTTGGGACTAACGGTACATGGTTTGCAAGCCTCCTAAAGGCCAACAGTTCATAACTGGTAATTTAAAGCTAATAAAGAAAACAGTCATAATTTCTACGAAAATTCGCAGAAATTGTGACTGTTTTCTTAATGATATGTTCCAATACCACATTCAGAGGTCTTCCTCATTAGTTTTGGTCCCCGAGGAGTTCCCGCAACTGCAATGATCAACAACAAGGTCAAGCTCGCAGTCACTTATAATGTTATTTCGACAGAATTACTAGAAGACAATACTTCTTGCTCTTGCCTGGAGATGTTTGCATTGATTTCTAAACTTGTTTGAAAGAAACATGAGCGATAATTCCTTGGATTTTACCGTTCTTTTTATCTTGCCTTTTAGTGAAAGTTTAAAATGAAATAAATCCTTTTTTTACCTTAATCTGCTGGATTTCACAAACGTGAAATAGAGTGTTCCAGTTAATCCCCCCAGCTGTCTGACTTACATTCTGTACAGGGTTACCACTCACTGGAAGTTAGCTTCACAGAAATCTATACTTTTTTATTTTCTATAAGCCTGGTTTTTTTTTATCAACGCTTTATCTTTGACCAATAATCTTTACTCTGGAATGAAAAACAAACTCTCACATGGTTTTTCTGGTACAAAAAAATTTGAAAAGAACTGGTGTGTCATCGATCTTTGCGGCTACCAACATTGGCCACTTTTCTGGCATTTTTCGCATTCACTCGTCTTCCATTTCTGCATGTTCCTGAAGACTCAAGGATAATACTTCGTTTTCTGCATCCATTTGTGATATAAAATCCCTGTCTATTTATTATAGTTCCAGCACAGGAGAGAGAGCAGAGTAAATAACTGAGGATGAAAAGGATCAGTTTGATAATTATAGTGATGCAGACTACATGTAGTTCAAACACTCAATAATCTTAGCTTGCATTTTGTATTTTTGTTGTTATATAATTTTGTTTTGTTTTGTTTTTTTTTTTTTGTGGGGGGGGGGGG